CATAAATAGGTTGAACAGCCAAGGGGAAGCTACACAGCCCTGTCTGACACCTTTTTGGATGGCAAACCAGTCCGAGTAGACCCCATTGATCCTAACATAAGCACTAGAGTCCCTATAAAGAGACCTTAATGCCTGTATCAAACCAGCGCTCAACCCATATGAGTTCAGTGTTTGCCATAACACATTCCTGTCCACTCTGTCATAAGCCTTTTCCAAGTCCATGAACGCATAAAAAACTTTCTGGTTTTCGGCCAAAAACTTCTCCGCAATCATGCGCATGGAAAAAACTTGATCTGTACACCCCATTCCCTTTCTAAAACCCGCTTGCACATCCCAAATTTTTCCATCAGTTTCTTTCATACTCTTTCAATTAACACCTTAGCGTACAGTTTACCCACAATACTAAGCAAGCTGATACCACGGTAGTTTTTGCAGTCCTGCTGTGACCCTTTTCCTTTATATATTGGTACTATAACTGCTTTACACCAGTCATCCGGTACCCGTTTTAATTCCCAACATAAATTAAACAAGGTGTACAGCAGGCCTGCCACCACTCCCTCTCCAGCCCTTAGCATCTCGAGTGATACTCTATCATATCCAGCTGCCTTATCCGCTTTCATGCTTTTCATAGCTTTCATTATTTCATCTACACTTATCTCCATACCCCTTTCCACTTCTTTCGGAATTTCTAGTTCATTTAATTCAGACGACTCTTCACTCATAAACACGCTTTCAAAGTATTCCTTCCATCTGTTTAAATTCGAAGCTTCATAATTCAGAATACATCCATTCTCGTCTCTTATAGCATTAATTGTAGGCTGTTTTGTATTTCCCCTGGCAGTTCCTACGAGTTTCCAGAACATTTTTACGTTAGCCTGGAAATTGTCAGATATCCTTCTATCATTGTTATCCATTCTTTCTTTCTTTTTCCTTTCAACAACTTCTTTTACTCTCTTATTTAGACGTCTAAGTTCTGCCTTTTTTTCTTTCAATCTCATCATTCATACCAGAAGAATTACCAGCTTTGGTTGCTAGTAAATCTAACCAATCTTTCCTCTTTGATTCAACTTCCACCCGTACCTCATCATCCCACCACAACGTATTACTTTTCCTTTCATTTGTTCTCTTACTTACACCACATACTTCAGTGGCGGCATCCACCAAACCTTTCTTAATATTGTCCCACACAGTATTCAAGTCTAAATCATTCATACACAACTCATTCAAACATCTAATATTTCCTTTCAGTCTACATTTATACTTCTCTTTCACATCTTCATCTAGTAACTTCTCTATTCTTATACGCTGTAACGCAGTGGTAGACACAGATGTCCGATGCCGCCAACGCTTGAAAAGACCATTAATTCCACATAAGACCAAGTAATGATCCGTCCCTACGTTGGACCCCCGGTAAACCCTTGTATCTACGACTGCGTTCCACATTCTTTCATCCACAATTACGAAATCTATCATGCTTCTATCATCACCTCTTTCCCATGTATACATGTGAATCTTCTTTTGACGAAAAAATATTTCGTCACAAAAAGATTCTTTTCCACACATATGGTGAGGAGGTCTTCACCATTCTCATTTATACTTTCATCACCAAACATTCCCAATATCCTTTCATAACCAGACCTCTTCACCCCAACCCTTCCATTAAAGTCTCCTAACATAATAATATTTTCATTTTCCTTACATTTTGTCAACACCATCCTTACCATGTCCCAAAACTGCTCTCGGATGTAAGTGGGCTTAGACTTGTCTGGGGCGTACACCCCTAGCATGAACAGCTTCTTTAAGCCCACTTTAATTCGTATCCATAGCAGCCTCGGACTTACACATTCATACTCTTTCACACATTGACCCAATCTTTCTGAAAGGATGAAACCGACACCCTGGCATGCCTGTTCGGTCTCGTCTACGCCAGACCAATACGCGGTATACGTGCCATGTGCAGTGGCATCCTTTCCCTTTCGTTTCGTCTCATTCACACATAACACATCTATTCCTCTGTCATTCATCATTTCGCATACTTCATCCATCTTATCATTCATTCCTCCACATACATTCAGCGTAGCCAGACGGGTTTCCGCAATCCACTTTTCGCCCCTCCGGGAGACAGAACGTGACGGGTGGCGAACCTCGTCACCGGTTTTTCTCCCGGAGATTCTTCGCGCCCCTGCCCCATTGAAGGGACGCCGGGAACTCGAGGCCATTTCTTTTGTTTTCTGAGTCATGGTGCGAACAAGGGGTGGTGGTAGATTTTACGCCACTACCATACGGCGAGGAGTCGAGTCTATTTTTTCCGGCTTTGTCGCTCGTTTAGCACCACCCTGGGGACACGTGTAGGGTGGGCCTAAGGTTAGGCGGTCGAAGCCTACGGACGCGAGCGACTCATCCCCATCTCGAGGTTTTTCTGCCAAAAATACTTAGATATCAGGCTATCTGCAGTAGAACCAGAGTAACTGGCATTGCCCAACGGATTAGTAAGCTAAGTGGTAATGGGTCTGTCACACAGCATCGAAGAACCGACCGACAAGGAAGAAAGGTCTTCGATTAAAAATCAAAATGCTTGTCACCCGTTATCACCCTGATTATGCCTCGCTTACAGTGAAAAGGATCTCCGGTTCCCTATACTCACTGTAAGAATCACAGGAGTATTAAGCTGCTAATTTACGCTGATATTCCGTGAGTGCATGGTTCTTCCCCGGTCGAACCGACACATTCCTGCTACAACCATATAGCAGGCAGACTGACAATCACCGTTTTTCTTTTTCTAATTATTGTAAGTAACATACTGCTAACAATCTTATCTATTGTTTCCCTATATCGGCGCTTGAAACGTCCACGGGACGATATGAGCCTTGAACCGCCACTAGCCTCAAAACATTAAGTAGACAGAACGTACTCAGAACGTAACGAATTCAAACAGAGTTTCTTAGTTTTTTTTTTAAATTCCGCGAGAAAGAACTGCATTAGGCATTTCATTAACTTCCGTAAAGAAAGCCGGCTCAGGTCCCCAGAGCAAAAATGTATCTATTTTTTGCTAATGGGCACTAAACAAGTCATAATATTATATCATAAGCACTCACGCCTTACACCCAGAGAGGTAGGCAAAGACTACAAACTTCCATTTGGTACGATCCTAACACACCTCTCTCGTCTCCTCAACATCCATATACCTACGTATACATGCTCGTCGGTTTGAAGTACTCTTAATTTGGCCCATTTTGAATATATTGCCAATTTGGTCGACAAACTTTCGCCTAGGTCATCCCTTACCAACTCTGCCGGTCAATTCTGCAACATAAATTTGCTTTGTTACTTTTTCCTCATTCATTCTTTCTACATGGTCAAACCACCGAAGCATTCCTTTCTTAATCCTCGTCACTACATCATCTGGCATACCACACTCTTCTCTTATCACAAAATTTCTCACCCTGTCACTCAGAAGTAACCAGTAGGCAGGAAGTCGGTGGTGTTTCATCTCCGTGCCCTGGAATGCACATAAAGCCGGTCGTATCAGTTACCGTCCCATCTGACTATGAGAGAGGGCGAATAAAATGTAGACTTTGGATTGTGCATAGACTCTTGCACTATAATTTTGCCGTGCGCAGATGTCTATAGTCTCCAAGGAGACTGGCCGCCGTAACCAAAATGATAAAAGCTCCAAATAATAAAACATTGTGATTTCTTCCCGCCTGTCAAGCATGGTATGAGATCAACTTTGTAGAAACAGCGGAATTTTATGGGCTATTTAAAGAAATAAAAAATATGTGGTACCCCAACACTATATCAATCAAAAATTTAAATCTTTGACTTATATCACGAAAGAGCGCAGGCTGCGCTAATCGGCTGCTTATCGAAATCTGCTGTTCTTCATTACAGTTTACCGTTTTATATTAACTTTGTTTTTATGAAACTGAAGTGACAAGCGAACTTACAGTCCACCTGATAATAAGTGCCTACTGCAGGCAATAGACACATGCAACCAACTTCATACAAGGAACAGTTGCTTTACTATCTCTGCGGAATAGTTAAGAGATAAAGTCCTATCATCTAGTAACTACTTTCATCCACATTACCAGCCCATATCTGTTCATTGCCAGCAACGACTTGTGGATCTGAATCGTGGTCCTTGTCTGATGGCAGTATTAAGAAACTCAAGGTCGCTCAATGAGCTAAAGAGGGGGCTATGCTCGATTCTCGGTGTTATAGATTTATAAATGATGATATCCGCAGTAGAACCAGAGTAACCGACATAGCCTAACGGATTAGTAAGCTAAAGTGACAATGATCCGGCAATATAGCTCGAAGTACCAACAACCATGTACCGCTAATGCTTTATAAGTCCACCGCTAAACGTACACCCCCAAGAAGAATGCCTCAAATGAATTCCAGAGCCAGCTGCGTTCATCGACTTCTAATATGCCTTTCTAGGTCGTCACACCATCTATGGGGTGTCGTCTTGCATACTCCTACTTAGTTAAGGATACCGTCATGAAAATAATTTCACATTAAACTTATATCCGTTTGAAATTCATTACGGTCTTTCAAAATTACACTGCTATATATAGACGCCCGCGCTTGGAAGGCTGATTGATAACAGAATTTTTTAACCCTTTCAGCGCCAGAATATTTTGGTATGTTTATGCTATATGCCGTCATACATATAAGCAGCTACGAGATAAATCGTACTTGACATAGTAGAACATAAATCCATTCGACTACGAGTATATTCGTATACGGCTATACTCGTAGTCGGCAAAGAAAATGGTATTCTTTCGTAATTTGGCGGGAAAAACAGGAAGCAACACAACAGGTTGCTTCGTGTTCGGGAGCTAGACACGAACTAACACTGCAACTAGTTTCGTCCAGCGTGGCTGGTCCAGCAGGCGTGGCTTCTGACCGAGTGATGGCGTGTGAGTGACATTATTCAGTTTAGCAACGTAATGAAAAGGATGCGCTGTCGTAACAAGTAATTATCTGCATAAAAAATGGCTAAGCGATTAAGTGAACAAGAAATACCTGATTTAGCGAATTGTGATAGTAGTGACGAGAGTGGTGATGACTTCTCTTCGACAGATGAAGACGAATTGTATGTGCAACCTGATACAAGCGCTGATAGTTCGTTTTCGGAGCGCGAACATGCTGAGTCTCGTTCAAACGCACAAGATACACAACAAGCTATTACATTGCGATCCAATACTATACAATCTTCTTCTTCATTAGATAGTAGTGGTGCTCCAGATACGTCTAACTCAGAATTTCAGCCAGGTTCAGAAGAAAATGGCCCTTTGGTAGGAGAAAACGATAGTAATGAATGGATAGATATACCATGGGAAATTTCAGACTTCCCGTTTTTGGGTCCTGAGCCAGGTGCGAAAATAGCTACTAATAAGAGCACAGCTTCTTCTATGTATGCTGATTTCTTGACGACGAATTCTTGGAAAATTTAGTTACGGAAACTAACCGTTACACCACCCAAGTGCTTTCAACGCGTCGTTTGCGAAGAATGGAGAGAAACGAATAAAGCCGAGATGAAGGTATTTATTGCTATTGTTTTACATATGGGTATCTTGCAATTACCTCAAAATCCACTATACTGGAGTAAGCATAAGTTATATGACATTCCGCTTTTTAGAAGTTTGATGAGCCGTAATAGATTCCAGGTACTATTCAGATTTTTCCATTTTTCAAACAACGAAGAAGTTGATAAAAGTGACCGTATTTACAAAATAAGATTTTTGATAGAACATTTCAACAAATTGATGCAAGATATTTATGCCCCGAATAAAGATTTATGCATAGATGAATCTGTAATGTCGTTAAAAGGAAGAATTTTTTTTCGAGTTTACATAAAAAATAAAAAACATAGATACGGCATCAAGATATATAAACTATGTGAAAATAACGGCGTAATACTGAAGATAAAACTTTACACAGGCAAATTAGAAGGTCTGGAAGGTGGACAAACTATAAAAATTGTAACAGATTTATTAGATGATTACTTGAATAAAGGTTACAAAGTATATACAGATAACTACTATAACCCCGTTGAGCTGATAAGAAAAATGAGCGCAAATAAAACTTACTTATGCGGAACTTTGCAATCAACCCGTGGTAAATTCAAAAGTTGTGACAGAAGAAAGGTGAGATGATTTGGAGAAGAAAGGGGGAAGTAGCTGTTTGCAAATGGAAAGACAAACGCGATGTTCTAACCATTTCAAATATGCACCATCCTGAAATGATAACTATCAGAAACCAACTTAAACTAAAATCTAATATTATTGTTGATTACAATAACGGTATGGGAGGAGTAGACCACTCTGACCAAATGATTTACTATTATGAGAGCATGAAAAAAACCAAATACTGGTACAAAAAGTTCACTATTCACATTTTTCAAATGTTTATACATAATGCTGCAAGAATACATAATGGTCAATCTGGATTGAACAGATCGGAGAGAATACCTCTGCTGAATTTTACTGAAAATGTTATTATTCACGTGTTAGGCCAAAAGTATATCGACTATTCTGAACGATCTTGAAGAGTCACGTGCTTCGCCTGTAGAGTAGAAAATCTATAAATTTCCCTCAATTAGCGAGAGGTCTCTTCGAACTTTACAACTGAATATATCACGATCTTTGTGTTAAGTTGTTAGCTAAACTGTGATGGTCGTTGCCGTGTGATGGCGGTGTAAAATAATCTACTGCCCTATTTCATTACTTCAATTGGTTCGTTATAATATAACTACAAAAATGTTTTTTATATAGAGTAAGGAAACGGACACACAATCCATTGTTTGCAGCACACTTACTTGAGAACTAAGATGGAATGCCTCGTTTCCACTAGAAATGGTCCCTGGCTCCATAGACATCTTACGAAACGCTGCAGCAGCTGTTATTTTACGCTGGTATTCTATGAGCGTCTGTTACTATCTAGGTAAAGTCGACGCAATTGTGATACAACTTTAATAAAGCTGCAGCGAGGCTCTACCACGTTTAGTAAACTAAAGTATCAGCCTAATCCATATCCGTCACCCGTATCTGTTTGTTAATAGCCTCTACTCATTTTTGAGAGTGTTCTTCGAGTGAGGAGGGGCACGAAAGGGTTGCCGCATCCATTAGTAAGTTTAACTGAAAGCGACTTTTGACTTTACATCCACTTATCATCGGATATAATTAGGGTTTGGAACATTAAAACGCGAATATAGTTGATGCATGAATGGGTCGGTTTGACCGGGGCAGGACCACACTCTTACAGAATATCAGTATAATGCCGCTGTAGCTCGTATGGTGAGTGTAGAGAAACGGAGACAATATTTACTGGAATCGAGGCATTGTATCTTAGCCTTCAGGGGTGAAAACGCATTTGCATTTGGATTCTTAATTCAGGATAAATGTGGATGTCTATGGGCCATAGCATACACTTAACATCACTTGAATTTTATACTCGTTTGTCACCCAATGCTATAAAAAAACAATATCGAACCTTGGTCATGTCTGACGTGGAAGTGACAACTGCTTAAGCACACGCATCATAGAGTGGACAATGCACTTAGACTGACGTAGTGTTGAGCATTCTGAATAAATAGTGAGGCGTCTTGGATCTGGTGCTCTGTTTAAATATTATATTTATAATATCATTAATTTTTAATAAATATAATTTCAATAAGCTTGTTGCTATAGCAAGTGAATTAAAATATTTTGTACATCTTGCAACAAATACGTAAAATACAATAACAATCATCATCATAATTAGAGCCTATCAAAAGTCCACCATTGAACATCAGCCTCCAACAGATTGCCGTATGGTATTACTACGGAAATCCATATTACAACGCTTGTCAGTTTTTATCAGGAAGACTTCTTTTGCTTCATTTTCCCTCTATTGGGAAGAAATGGAATTTTTGCATATACATGTCATTCTTGATTATATTTTTCTATACATATAATAAAAATGTAAATTGTAAATGTATATTTTTGTAACAATTTTTATTGAGAGGGTCTAAAAATAAATAACTGAATACATTCCTATCATTTTTAGAATTGTCAGTCTGTCTGTCAGTCTGTTTGTTAACGCATCATGTATAAAGTACTCATTTATATAAAAAAAAGTTGTGAAGGATATCTTCGTTTTAAGTTTTGTCTTTGTTTTTTTTTAAATCGGTTCGTCCTATCAAAAGTTATGATGAATATTCTAAAGTATGGTTTCGAAATACAGGTACGAATTTGTTCAATAGTGGCGTTGAGTGATCAAGAACATATAAAATAGCGTTCTATAATGATAAAATTGTATCCAAACGCAGTAAACAAAAATAATAAAGAATAACGTAACAAATATTTATGAAAATATGTAAATCCTAATATCTTAATTTAAAATGTAAAATAGTTAACCAATGTCATTGATAGATGGTGTTGTGCAAATTATTTCTTAAACTTTAAGGTGTGCTCATAATTTTTGTCTTAACCGCCAAGTACCTACAATATGGTAAATCAAATTTTGAAAGAGCTATTAACATTTTTTATCGTTTTGGCAAGGATCATATCAAGCATATAGAAGCTTGGTCTAAACATATTATACTTCCCTTTTGCACTTCCAAAAGTTTTAAAATGTACACTGTCGTGAAAGTGAAAAATTACGTTATTCAATTGTTTTATTCCTACCCGTTCTTTTCTAAATATCGTATAATTTTTATTTTACTATAATAATAAATTAACTACTATAATTTTATATAGATGGCGCTATAAGTATTTTCAAGCACCGTAAGCTTTCATTATTAACGATATATGAAGGACGCGTAGTAAGTAAATAATTGCTTTGTTTGAAAATATTGTATTTAATTTAGAGCTCAAATCGCTGGATGTAGATGCGTGAAAATAGTAATTGTTTTTGTTTGTGTTTGTGAAATTCTTATTAATATACATTAAACATTCCTATTTATGAAATGCAACATTAACAAACCGTGTCGAACAAGTTACAAGTTAGCGGAGCGTGTTTGCCTGGGGGCACGCGAGGTGAACTTTATTTGCTGTACTTATTATAAGCTTTAAATAACTTATAGCATACAGTATATACATTCATTAGAAATCTATGTTCATCAAATTTATAAAAGTTAGACGTGAACGTTTGAAAATATATTAATAATAATAAATTTCGATTATAGTCCATGATGGTTGTTCACAGCGGTGAAATCCCGCCAACTTCCTGACTGACGCAGTTGCTGATTTTGACCCGACCCGGGATTCAAACCTCGGGCTCTTTTTCAGCAATTACATTTACGACAGCTAGACCAACAGACATTATATGTGTACATACGAGACGTTGTTGGGGTTCTTGTCGACCACTTGTTCTGTGTTAACGTTAATGTTTACGTCAATGTTGCATCATTTACAATATATGAAACATAATATGACCTGCAAATGTTCATTTACATGACGTACGTATGGTGAAATTTAAATTGGGTTTTCAGAAGAGCCACGCTGCAGCTATGTTACGGATGCAGTACGAATGGATCGGCTCGCTTGCTACATATTTATTTATCTATGGGCTCGATCACGGAGTGATTACGCTCTCCAGAATACGAGCATAAAATAGCAGCTTAATACCGCTGTGATTCGTATGTTGAGTGTAGTAAATCGAATACCCTTTTCACTGGAAAGGAGGGGCACCATCTTATTCCACATGGATGACAACGAATCTTCATTAACTTAATCGAGAATTACCTATCGTAGTACAAGACGTCTCGCACCTTTGACGCTATTCCCAGTCACATTTTATTTTTAATATTCTATTCTGTATGTAAGAGAGATTTATCTCACATAAATGTAAAGATATATCTTGTGATAACTTAAATGGTATTACTATCCCTATTACTTTATATTGCGGAAAAACTTTGTACGTGATCTGCACAAGGCGTCAAATTACGTCTTTAGTTTCAGGGCTTAATTATACTTCCGCCAAGTATCCGGTGGTAACTAAGAAAACCTCCGGTGCCGCCATAATGTCGTTCTTCATACGATAAGATTTACCCTTGAATATAGAAGTTTCTTAAGTATGGTTTATTAATTTATATTAGTAATGTTAAACAATATTACATTCGTTTCTTTTTTCTTTTTTGATAAAATATCGTTGAAAAACGAGCACACAGTCCACCACCAGACAAAGTATACGTGGCCCATAGACATTTACATTCGGCACAGTTTCAATATGTTTATTTCGTGTTTCAAACCAACACGAGCGGCGAGAGTTCAGGCCCAGGGCCAACGGCTTTACGTGCTTTCTGAGACACAGGGGTGAAACACCGTCAATTTTCTGACTCCTAGTTGCTACTAAGGAAAACTCAGCAACTAATTTTGACCCATCCCTGGATTCAAAGTCGGGATTTCGTCATCAGCAACCGCGTGTGCGGCTACTAGACCGACGAGGCAGTCAAACTATATTATATTAAAAA